CCCTGAAGTCATCCATACTTGCTGTTTATATACTCTTCTTGTTTGACACAGAGTGAAATTCACAAATATCATGACCTAAGCACCTGTTTAAAACTAAACATTTAAGTCTTCAGCTTGGAAAATAATTTCTTTATAATTAAAGCACAGCTGAAACCCCATGTCAGCTGGGGGTTTTCCGGGAGAAGTCACAAGATAACTGCATCCTAAGGGCTTCTCTGTGTTGAAGCTGAGAGACGGAACAAAACAAAGCCATCTTTTTCATACCAAACCATGGAAGTGATGTGCAGAAAGATACCTGTATCCTCTATCCAGGGAAAGAGGGTGAGTAAAAGAACCGCTGGTCTAGAAACCCATGCAGAAATACTTGCCAATCCTGAGTGCAGAATTGTTTTGAGCACCTAAAGGTCAAGAAAATCTTCTTGTATAAGGATCCTCCCGTCATCAGTCTTCTCAGCTCACCTCACACGACCCAGGAGCAGGTGGGTTTGTTTGTTTGCTTGTTGGCGGAACCAGGGATTGAACTCAGGCCCTTGCACTTGCCAGGCAAGCGCTTATTCTACTGAGCCATCTCCCCAGACCTGGGAACAGGTGTTAACTGACCTGAGGAAATGGGTCCGCAGAAGCCAGCAACACATTTTCCGGTTTCAAGTCACAGTGGACGATGTTCTTGAAGTGAAGGTGTCTCAAAGCAACCAAGATCTGATCAGAGGAGAAGGGGTCAGGTTCAAAAGGGACCTCGCCTAGGCTACCTTCAGGGACAGCTCTCCACACCCCACCCTTGCTGTCTCAGCAGCCCTAAAGATCCCCAGGCTCATGGGAGGGACTGGGGATCCCACAGAATTTCAGAACCTCTGAGCCTTGCATACCCAAGAGTGAGGAGTTCAGGGGAGAACTTTACAAAGGCTGGGCCAGATCCAGGGGCGGGGAGGACCTGAGACCCTCTGCATGCAGGACCCTCCTGAAGTGCTATGAAAATTGACTGGGGCCTTTCAAGAAGGTTCTAGGGGGGCTGGAGAGATGGCTCAGTGGTCTAAGGCACCTA